CACATAGCACGAAGAGAGGACGGTCGATGGGGCAGAAAGATCCTGGAGTGGCGACCACGTACTGGCAAGCGCAGTGTGGGACGGCCACCTACTAGATGGACCGACGACCTAGTAAAAAGCGCTGGGTCTCGTTGGATGCAGGTGGCAATGGACCGGTCGCACTGGAAATCTATTGGAGAGGCCTATGTTCAGCAGTGGACGGCGATAGGCTGAAATGATGATGATGATGATGATGAGATGGGTGGATGAGCTCACAGCCCACCTGGTGTTAAGTGGTTACTGGAGCCCATAGACATCCACAACGTAAGTGTGCTACCCACCTTGAGATATAAGTTCTTACGTCTCAAGTAAGTTACAACGGCTGCCCCACCCTTCTAACCGAAACGCATTACTGCTTCACGGCAGAAATAGGCGGGGCGGTGGTGCCTACCCGTGCGCACTCACAAGAGGTCCTACCACCAGTACTTTAATTTATGTTGAATTTTTTTTTATTTATTTGATACGATACGTCACACCTGGTGCTAAGCGGTTAACGGAGCCCACAACAACAACAACATGAATGCCACCACTAGGGGTGAGCCCTGAGTTCTAAGTCTCAGTTTTAGTGTAAAGCCGTTGGCCCATTCCTAAAACCGAAACGCATTACTGATTCACAGCAGAAATCGACAGGATGGTGGTATCTACCCGTTCGGACTCAGAAGACGCCCTAACACCAGTAATTACGCAAATTATTACACAATGCTATTCCTTTACTGTTGGATGTTGTTCACGAACATTTCGTTTTTACTACCGCACCGCCCGCCACCGGAGTAGAGTTCATCCATACTACCTGGAGCCACTGCGGTCATCCACAGTGCGTTTCTAGAGATCTTAATTGTCACGTACCATCCGACTTTGGAATGAGCTCCCCTCCACGGTCTTTCCTGAGCCCTATGACATGTCATTCTTCAAACGAGCCTTGTGGAGAGTATTAAACGGTAGGCAGCAGCTTGGCTCTGCCCCTGGCATTGCTGACGTCTAAGAGCGACAGTAATCATTCACCATCAGGTGGGCCGTATGCTCGTCTGCCTAAGCAGGCAAAAAAAAAAACTGCGGGATTCAAACACCGGCACAGGCACATCGCGCGATACAAATGTATCAGGTATCTTATGCTTTGGGCTACGGTGACTTCATTTTAATCCAACTTTGTTTGAATTTATCGTCTCATGTAAAAAGAGTGAAACTAACTTTTGAAAATTCAAGTTTTTTCTTTCTACGCTATGTAACATTTTCAGGATTGCTCACAGTTGATAGTCTGACAATGGTAGCGATCTATTGAAATAGACAATCACTGCATTCGAGCTACTCAATCGTCGCCCGACATCTTTAATTCATCAATCATTAATTTAAACGTTGCAATAAATGACATTTTACTAGCGTGATAGGCAGAAATAAAGCAGTCACCAGCGACCGATGACGCGATCATAAAACAAATAAAAACGAAGTGATTTTTCATCATTTAATTAGAAAGCACACACAGTTCAAGATTACACTCAAAATACAAATAGGACATAAATTTTACATGTTACGTTGTGAAAATCATTTAGCACCCGATCGCTTTGGACAGCACGGACTCTTGCATACTGGCGACGAATTCTTTTTTTCCTTGGACTTCTTTATGGGCCAATAAGTGTCCAAAACTATTGGCCCGCACGCGATACAGCCCGCCGCCACGAGCGCCGTGAAACAGGTCATGCAAATCAACATCGTTTACCTACTTCTTGATGCACTGAAGGAACTTTTGCATCTCGAAGCGTTTGTAGCAAACGGGTACGCAGGCTAGTAAAGTTGCTGACGCGATCAGGGCGTACAGGGAGAGGCAAATCATCTTTCGACGGAACTGCTCTATTAGTAGCGAAATTCTGTGAACGAAAAACAATTGTTGAAAATATTTAATTAATTAATTGATGTGATCACGTAGAGATAAACTTATTAAATGATCAACAGGACCCATGTTTAACTGGTCGCATCGAGAGGTTCTGTTGATCGTAAGATAGATGCAGGGGAAACCCCAAAAGGGCCGTATTCGATCACCGCTGCGTAAAAGTATTGTAGATAAAACAGGAGAAGCTTTAAAACGATCTATTGAACTAGCGCCAGACAGAAAGAAATGGAGACAAATCATTTATAATCACGATACTCATTAGTGATTAAACGACAAAGAAGATAGTACTAATAGAAGATAATAGTCATTAAACCAGTACACGGGAGCTGCTAAGCCATTACCACACAATGGTTAGAAAAGACGATGAGACTATCTGAAAAAAAATACATCCCAGAGCACTCCCCACGTAGCATGTACGATACCAAGATACCAAGATGCTCTCTGCATCGGTCTATTCCGGTGAACCTTATGGGTTTCAAAATTACACGAAGATCACATCATTCGGATACATTTGAGATGTCAATGTGATTAATATGAAATGGTCACAGAATAATACCACTTTTTTTTTTAAATAAAAGTTGTCCTTAACTGTTGGGGTAATTTAAGATTTCACTATTTACTATTTTGATATTTTAATAATGTCCCTATTTTAAATAAAGTTGTCGAAACTAATTAGCATCTAGATATTAAACTTTCAAGAAACAAGAACGGAAGAGAGAAAGCAAATGATGCATTACATTGATATTTAAATTACTGATTACATTTGAATTTATTAGACGGAATTTGGCAATGACGAAACAGAACAAAAATTCCTTCGTAATTAAATTATGTTTGTTAAGAGTGCTACACTAAAGTGGAGAGTGTTTTTTTTTCTATAGACTCAAGTAAACCTTTAAAACCAGACTTGAACTCGATCCATCCAAACAGTAAAGATGGCGCCATCTTCAACTATTACCTTACTTATCCGGTGCTTACCCACCAGTTCCCTTACATGATGTTGCTGATGGCAATTTACTATATGAAGGACGTCATTATACTGTTGACTGAGAATTTAATATTATCTCTCTTGGTAAGTAATGGCATTATTGTTGCTATATTTGCTTTTTCAGTGACCTCATAATTTTATTGCTTAGATGGGTGGATGAGCTCACAGCCTACCTGGTGTTAAGTGGTTACTGGAGCCCATAGACATCTACTACGTAAGTGTGCCACCCACCTTGAGACATAAGTTCTAAGGTATAGCTACAACGGCTGCCCCACCCTTCAAACCGAAACGCTTTACTGCTTCACGGCAGAAATAGGCAGGTTGGTGGTACCTACGCGTGCGGACTCACAAGAGGTCCTACCACCAGTATGTATTGCATGTATGTATATGGTATTATATTATATTATATTATAGATGTATATATTATTTTTTAATTGCTTAGATGGGTGGACGAGCTCACAGCCCACATCTACAACGTAAATGCCGCCGCCCACCTTGCCACATGAGTTCTAAGGTCTCACTTTTAACAGTACAGTAACAGTAAATGTTGATTTTAATAAAAAAGTAGCTTTACTGTTTAAAAATATCTGCCCGTCGATGAAATTACCATAAAAATAGATCATCTGCAGACCAAGCCCAAAGATCTAAAAATGGCGTGTTATAGCTTTTGAGATTTCTTGCCCATTGAAGATCTAAGTAATATGGAAATATGCAAAAACCACATCCTTAATGTCATTATACTTCCAAAATAGATTAAATAAGATATTCTTTATCTCTTAATCTACTAAAACAGCATATTCCAGTTACATACGTTAAATAAAAAGAAACTAAATCACTATAATATTTTAGTATATAATAGAAAGATATGTTTTGTTATTTAAATCGTATGATGATCTGAACATGTAAACGGATCCGAGAGCTTAAACTTACCCGATTGGTATGAAACGAAAATCAAAAATATTCCAGACTAATCGATACAATTCACGAGGCTACCATAATCTCTAAATTTGTGAAATGCCGTCACATAATTTTGAAAATCCTCGCTTAAGTTCGTTAAACTGTTAAATTTACACCATCGTAAAATGTAAACTGTCAGCTTGACAACTGTCATAGTTTTGTTTCTTCTAGAATACAGCTCCTGAATACTAAAGAGGATAAATGGATCTTGTATTTATTTCATTGCTTTCAATCGGATCGAATTTCTCACGCGACAGATCACTTTTTTGTCCTACCTAAGCTGATAGCCTTGAGAGGCTATATCAGCGCTACCGTAGCATGTAGGTCAGCTCTCGGACCAGGAGGTGTTGCTAACACTGGTCCTAGCAGGAACAGTGCTTCGCAGAATCTACCACCGAATCGGAAACGTGACCAACTGAGAATAAGCCGGCGAAACTCAGTGGGCTGTGTCTATGGGTTAATTTACTCACCGAGTCCTTCGTCGTAAGCGATGGCTTCAACGGGAACGGTGACCGGTGCTTGAGGTACCTAAAAGCACCATTAGTAGATTGGGCGAATCCGCAATGACATGTTTAGGGCGACGTCGACTGTTTACCATTCGGTCCGCAGGATCGGGTATGCAATTTCCGGAGGCATTTTCAAAATAGGACACTGATGCCGACTGAATATACTTATTGATGGAGTCAAGCTCCAGGTCGTCATGAAAATCCACATTCCTTAAGAACCACAAACTGATCGCCCCCCAAACGCCAATACTAGTCAAAGAATCAAATTGATAAATTCAAATATAAGCAATTAAACTGACATGAAGGCTATCACATAATTGACACCAAGTATTGGGCTTAGAATGAATGAGTGTCTTGGAAATATGGTCGATACAGTAATTGCCAGACTAGAAAGAAGATAGACAGATGGGTCTGCTATTTTTATTTCTGTTACAGAGAAAGTAGCATTTGCTGGAAATTTGATGCTTGCCTTGCTCACGGACATCAACAATAGCAAGGGTACAGCCAGGCTACCGCCTATTTCAGCTGCTCCTGACATCATACTCGCAGTTTCCAGTCTACCCGTGGCGATGACGCTCCTAGCAGATCTAATATATTGGGTAATGATTAAAACTAAAAACATAACTGAAGAACTCTCAAAGTAGTCGGTGAAATTCTTCTAGCGATATCTTGACTCCGGTAACCAATTAACGTCAGGTCGGTCGTGAGCTCGGTCAACATCTGCGCTATGAAATACTGGTAAAAAAAATTCAAATGCTTCTTATTTAATAAAATCAATTCAAAGCACATATTCTACTACATTAGTTCACAAAATAATCTTAAATCACAACCATCAAGGATTTTAAATGCGATCAATAAATTTAAACCACACAGGTTTGGAACCGGAAATGTACAGTGAAGTTCAGCTATCCAAACTCTTTAACTTTTGGTAGACCCGGAAAACTTTTCAAAAACCAAAACTTCAATGTCATCACGTCAATATCCAGATCGTTCTTTGTTTGTGTACATTTTTTGGAAAAATTCTTTAATCCACCATTCTGTGAAAATAACCTATGCAGCCGTACAACGGACGAACGGCAATCCTAAATTGCCATAACATATAAAATAAGTTACTAAAGTGATTTATAAATGAGACTTTTGGTGTTGCTGCTACTGGCTTTGGTGTCAGCGAGGGGTTTTCCGGAGAGGAGGGCGGAAAAAACTCAGGCACTGCAAGCTAGGAAGGAGCCGAAGGTGCGGGAGGTACAGAGGGATTGCAAGGGGAAGTGCGCGACGAGTATAGCGCAGAAGGCCGCGGCCGAAGCGAAAGCGGCCCAAGCAGCGCAGAACGCGGCCGGAGCACAAGCCGCGCATATGGTTAGATTGATCACAAGTAATTTTATTGTTCACTAGCTGACCCGGCAGACTTCGTAGTGCCTCAATGGATAAATAAAAGACCTAAACTTTTGTATACAAACTGTATTTGTATATAAACTTCAACCACACATCAAAGGGAAAACAAAATTGTTATTTGTCTTTAATTTCGAGCATTTTCATATTTATTTACCTTTAAACCTTCTCTGGACTTCCACGAATAATTCAATACCAAAATTAGCCAAATCGGTCCAGCCGTTCTCGAGTTTTAGCGAGACTAACGAACAGCAATTAATTTTATATATATAGGTAAATAATTATTTTTAATTAAAGAAACGCTCCAACCTTGCCCTCGTATGATGCTTTGCACAAAAGCACAAAATAGGAACATTGCTCAGATCGTTGGAAAGTGGTTACCAATTAGCCATGGAGTGTGTGGGGAATGAATCGCTTAGACTGTTAATGCTACCCTGTAGTTTTATTAGAGTATGTAACTCATATTTTATCTAGTTTAATCGCAACTTGGCTAAAAGAAAATACTTCGTCTGATAATGAAAAACGTTAATATTCTGTAGATTAGTGTTTTACTAATATGTGTTTGTAATATTGATAAATAATTATATTAGTGCCAGATTTGCGTTCCGTTATGGATTGGGTTATTTGGTGATCGTAAATAAGTCCAAGCACGTGGATCCATAAATATTATGTAATTGAAAATTTTCATACTAAATAATTTTAACAGGTAAAGACTCAACTTGCGGAAAAAGCTCTTCAAGCAGCTAAAGCGGCTGAGGCGGCGCTAGCTGGTAAACAAGCTGTCGTAGAACAACTCCAACAAGAGGTGAAAGAAGCAGAGGCTGTGGTAGCAGAGAACACAGCTGCTGTCCACCAACAACAAGGGACTGTTAATGCGGCTGTGGAAGCGGCACAGCAAGCTACAGCTCAGGTAAGAGCAACATTGAACTGTTTATATTTAGAACTGGAACTGTATATTTATTTTATTAACTATTTGGAACTTCTTATATTTAGTATCTCTGCATTTTTGCCAAAATTTTATCGATAGTCATATCGGGTGTTATAATTTTAGTATATTAGGCATTATAGCTAATCACAACCTAGTCACTACTCGTTAGGATATTTTAATTTGTGTATCACGGTTATTAATAGTAATGCTAAGTGGTCAATCTTAATGTGGGGTAAGGAATGACAGTTTTAGGCAGTCTTTGAATATAAAAAGATTTCAGTTTTAAAGAGAGACTTGACATTTTCATTTAGCTGTGATTATTTCACGTAGCTTTACGTGGCTAGCAAAAAATATTCCGAGATTAATGATCTGTTGGGTGCTGTTTATCATTCTGGCTTTTATAAAAAAATTAACGAAAAATCCTTCAACAATTCCTACCGGATCAGCAAAAGCAAAAATCAAAGTTTTACGAAGTACAAAATCGAAAGATCAAAAAAGCTATACTGCTCGTGCGTTTACTACCAAGGTAGTAATTGTTGAAGTTTCCAACACGCTTCGTAAAGCTTTGATTTCTTTTGTTCAAGGTCTGATGCTGGTATTGGATTCAAAATGATTTGTATGTCGATGTGCGCCTTCATAGCAGCCGCGACGGTATTGGCTTGCGTACCGGTCTGCTTGAGAGAAACTTCAGTTAAATTTATGTCATGCCTCTGTTCTGGCAAAAAGGGCAAATAGGATGGTGGATTGATTGATTTGTATTTTGTTAAATTGTTGTAATAAACTCATATTATTTAACTGTCTATTTCATTTATTGCTCTGCCCAGAAAAGTAATCGATTGTGTGTACAAACAACAATATTATTCATTACAGCACAAGCTATTGGTACAAGCTACTCAACTAGCAGCACAGTTAGAAAAATCCGTTCATTGTGTCCTTGAAAAAACGAAATATGGTCTTCAGGAGAAATGCCATAATCTGTCAGAAGCGAGAGCTCGATTAGCTCAATTACAGCATAAGCTACAATGTGCTTGCGCTGAATGCTCGGCCACTAAGCAAGCAGCGCACTGTGCTTGCGAAGCAGCCAGAGCGGCTTGTGGGAATGCTCGAAGGAAGAAGCATATTATAAAACATAATGCAATAGCGTCGAAACAGGATAAGCAGGGACGATGATGGTCCTTGTCGTAACGGAAGATGAAGAAATTTGCTTGCTCTCAGTGTATGTTCTCCCATGACTTTCTTAGTGATCCTCTCATTCCCTGTAACCTTCGAAAATACCCAAAAAAATCCTTGATTTAACAATTTATAACAGATATATTCAAATTTTACATAACAGAAAAATTTGGTTTTGGAATGCAACGTACAGTAATACAGGTTTACTTTGGAGTCGAATGATTTAGTTAATGTTTTAGATTATTGTACTTTAGTTTTTTAAATGTAATTGTTAAGACTTTCAGTCGTGTAAGCTTTTGATAAGTTGTTTAAGAATTGTAATTGTGAATATAGTTGTTGTCGTTTATTTTGTTTTGTTTCAATTGAAAAAATACTACAGATAATAAATTCTATACATAAACAAGATAAAGGGACGACGAATATGAATACACCAACGAAAAATCTAAACACCTTTTGCTCTAAAAAAGTTACTAGCATTCAACTTCAGTCTGTGCAATATTTTTCGTTACTACGTTATTTCAATCATACAGTACCTATAAAGATTACGTTGTCGGTGCCCTGGCATTGCCGCGATAACCCTTGTATAGCCTGTCTCAAAATATACGTACAGTTAGGCCACAAAACAATTTGTTAAAAGAATAATACTTTGTCTCTTAAATATGAGATTTTGGTTCGGCATTTTTTCAATCTACACACTATCTGTCCACTCTGTCCACTATTGATCCTTTTTCCTATCTAACATCAAGTATATGTTTGGGAGTTTTATGCACCGAAAATGTTATGAGAAATCCGAACTAATTTTTTCTTTGTTTTTTCCTACTTATTCTGATAGCCTTGATGAGGCTGTTTCAGCTTCGCCCTAAAATGTAGGTGAGCTCCCGGGGTTCAAGCCGGAGTGTTGCTAACACTGGCCCTAGCAAGAGCAGTGCTTCGCAGAATCTACCACCAGATCGGAAACGCGACCCACTGAGAACACCCGGCGAGAGTAATTTTAAGAAATCCACACTATTCATAGAATTAACTAAAGTTACGGCGCGGCGGGAAGGATTTCCACTGATCATAAAATAAACATATTAAAAACAATATAAGGAATTAAAAATAATTTAATTTAAATAATCTTACAAATTACCTATATATAAATTAATGTCGTAACAATCCAATAATTGTTTGTTTTATTAATTAGCGGTGGACTATATATATTGAAAGTGAACAACGGCATTATTACAATACAAGTAAATTTCGTTGTCAATACTGAAAGAATCGCTATTAAATATAAAACTTAATTCTAGAAATTACTATTCAGGTATACTAAAAACGTCGTTTAGATTCTGAGGGTTGAAAGCTAGATTGCTGTTCTTGTAGTTCACGTAAGGGGAAACAGTAGCGGATTCGGTAGTGTCAGGATCTACGTAGCCTTTCGGAGAGAAATCTCCATCTTCAGCCATCATGGAGACACTTGGCGGGTATTTCGGTATGTACCTCGCTGGAGGCTCAGCATATTGACCCCCAATTATTATTTCCTCATCATTATCGACCGGTTTCTTCTCGACCTTCCACGGCTTATTCGTCTTGGAATCTTGCATCAGGGGCTTCTTTACTCTCTCCTTCTGTTTGTGCATGTAGACATCGGAGTATGACAGATTTTCTTCATTATTCTCCATTCCAGGAGTTGCAGGTGTGACGAAAAGCTCAAGTTTTGGTTTTACGAATTTAGGGTGCTTTTTTGTGAACGCGTATGCACTGTCTATGTTCTTATCTTGTTGGTAGCTCTTCCAAGATTTGTACTCATCACCGTAATTGCTGTAGTCAGCTTCGAAGTAGCTAGTTGGGCCTTTTAAGCCAGACGTTGCAGGGTAAATGTCCTTTAAGGACGCTTTAATTGGAGCTCCGTAGGAATCGACCGGAGGCTCACCGTAAGTCTTTTTGTGGGTGTTATAGTCATTGGAGTTTTGAATGGGCGGTTCGCCAAATCCAGCCACTTCTGGTTGGTAGTGGTTATACGGGATCTTCTTTGGTGGTCCGTAGACAGGCTTGCTCTGACGTTTCGGGGGACCGTATCTCGGCTTTGGTTTCGATGACCGTTTTTTGTGACTAGGAGGGCCGTATCTCGGGTTGACTTTTCCGTAGTACTTCTTACCCGGTTTCCTTGATTTCGGTGGTCCGTAAACAGGTCTGGGCGGCCCATATTTTGGTTTGGGCGGTCCGTAGCGTTGCCTCGATATTTTTGATATGCGTCTGTAGATGATTTTCGGATTCTGGTAACTAGAATCCATCGGGAAGTTGTCGATGAGCATCGTGGCGTCTCGTTTCCTGATTCTTTTCTCTTCGCTTGGTTCTTGCAGATCATGTTTTTGATTTTCAGCTTTCACGCATGATGCCGCTACTGTAACCTGTAATGGTAGATTAATATGATTAGCTATCGAATCGAATTAAAAGCAAATAATTATGAGGCACATTTATTTTGAATCCAACATAATCGAAACAATAAGATATTCGGAAATTATGCTTTGTATGGTAAAAATATCTGAATGATCAGTCCAGATATTGATTAGTATTATTGGTTATGTCACTCTGGCCTGTTTGAAGACCTGTAATTTTTATATATAACCAGCTTGTACTAGTAGTATCTTCGTCCCAATCTTAGTTCACATGTGATTTATTAATAAAATTCCTACTTGTCTATTTCATGTCACGGTGGCTTTAAAACTTAAATTTTCATTCAAGCATTTTCATTTCATTATTAAAATGAAGACAGTAATCAGTTTAGTAGCCGTCTGCCATCAAAAGTAATGAAAAGGACTGTTTTAAATATCATTAGAGTCGGACCACGCTTTCTCTAGAAGGGAAGAGTCAAGGTTCAGTTTGTCTTAAGTAGTTACTGGGAACCATAAATATGTCCTAGCTGAATACCATCACCTCGAGATAGAACGTCAGAGTCTCAACTGTATCGTTACAACTGTTCTCCTAGTTGACAGTGAAGAGGTAACATTGCGTAATAATATTGAAGCTTATCCGCGAATCTAATCAATATTCTAAACGATATACTCTTATGCAAGATACATAATGTACATTTGAAATATCTGACACGTTCTAATCTATATTAAACATTATTCGAAGCGCGTTTTGCTTTCGTTATGCTAATCTCATTACCCCCGAGACGTTTTCATACTAAACATAGAATACGTAAACATATGAAAGTTAATTCCATAATGGGAATAGGAATGTGCTTAGTAATGTTCACCCGAAGCTACAAGTTGTATTGTCATCGACGCAAACATGCTTTGTAAGAAGTTAATTTCGGCAGAGCCAAAAAAAATGTTTTTAGTTACAATATACGTAACTCAAATAGGGAATCTATTCCTGGTTTAAATGCTATCTTCCGCGATAAAGATGTTTCGCAGTTCTAAAAAGTAAATAATCACATTCGATGCGGCTTGAGATTTGTACGTCCTTATTAAGAAAAGTCGTCTGTAATCGAAAAGATAGCACGCATTCTCAAGAGCTCTATAATATCATTAGGTCTAAATAAGTTATAAGGCCGACAACAAAAATAGGAGCTCACAAGAAATACCTCAATTAACAAAACGCTTCCATCCTCGATGTAAAATAATAACAAACGTGTGACACTCGAGAACTGCGGCGGTAAAGCATAGCATTTTTTATCAACTTATGCAATTACAATTAGACAATGATAATTTAATATTAAAACAATAATAAAACAAGACCACGCTATATTAAACATTAATAAAAGCAAAACCTTAACTGTCCCCTTCACAGTCATAAGCTAGACCGCGCGAGAGAGAGATGGGCAGACTTTTCATGATGCGCATGCAGTGTGACGTCACGCCACGCGCTTATTCACAAACACTACACAAGCGCAACGTGTGAATTTGTTGAACGCGAGCTACATGGTAGGCGGAGTGAGGGGTGTTAGGTTTTTTTCGTTACGGAATTTCATGATTCGGTCGCCGCGCTCAAGGGCCGCGATAAAAGCTATGCAATAGCTTAAAAAAAGAATCTCTTTAATATATAGAAATAAATACTTAAACATGTAAATAGATTATCACAATGTACGCTGCAAGAAAGCGCAGAATGTCGCATCAATAGAACTAATTGAACATTTTTACGACAATATCTCAATGAAAAATTCATGATTTTCTCAAATATGAATGCAAATATTTCCTGTATACTCAGATTTGTTAATTAATAATAAGATCTGAGACAAGCGAAATGATTGTTGATTACAAAATGTAAATTTATTCAAATTAATTAACATCTGATAATAGATATTAACGTTTCCGGCGCTGGAATTCGATTAAGAGTGTTACTTAGAAACCTTATGAAATAGATATTAATGGCGTCGCGTAGGCGTTAAGCCGTTATAATATTTGTATTATTCATAAAAAATGTATCTTAAGGTGTGTGCATACTTAGAAAGTTATTTCAATGCTTAAGCTTTCGGAAGACAAAATTTGCGATGAAAGAGCATTTCGATGCCTCCAATGAACACTACTCTAACTCAAAATTTTGAAATTTTCGTTTTTCACGCAAATCGCTTCACTATTTTAAAAGTATTACAATTAATCATTATTGATGGGGTTCAAAGCAAGAGTAAATCAGCTAGGTACACAAAAAAACCATAAATATATCTGCAATAATAAAGATTTTATTAACTTTTTTCGTTTAAACGCTCCTCCTGTAAATCTACGAATTTGGAGTTAGCGTAGTGTTCATTGGAGGCATCGATTTTTCTTTAAAAAAACACACAAAAAATTTACCTACGCTACATTTTCAAGATATAATTTATTACCAATCAAACGTTACTGCAGATATCGCGTGCGATATTTATACGATACGCAATGAACCATTGACGTCCAGTGAATGAGTGATCCAGTGAAACCTTTTAGGTGTGGAATATATGTATGTATATATATTATTATTTTTTAATATTTTTTTTATTGCTTAGATGGGTGGACGAGCTCACAGCTCACCTGATGTTA